GCTATGACTTTTCCCTCCTGGTTCTGCCACCTGCTAGCAAGTGATTTGAGCAGCTTATCAGGCCCAATTATGCTGTGAAGGGACCAGGACAATGCCATGTGCCTTGATGGGCTCACAGAGTTCTGGGAGGATTGAATGAGAGTGGTGTGAACTTGTGCAGCCAGGGCCCCACAAGAAGTCATGTTTTGTCACTGTCTACTAGCCTCTCCTGGCTGGAATTCCAAGGACCAGATTTTCCAAATTTCTAATCCTTTCCAAAAACCTAGTCAAATGCCTGGTCACTGCAAATGCCTTCAGAGCTACATGGCAGAAGAGGGACCTTGTTCTCAGAGTTTCCACAATCTCTGTTCCCACGTGATTTCTAGCACCAGGGAACTGCCCTGAGACAGAACTCTTTTTTCACTGACTGTAATTACTATTAATACTTATAAAATAACCATAATACTATTTTGTTTATATACTAAGGGCTTTGCCAGGGCAGATATTGAGACTTACTTCTGTTATCTCTAGTACCTACCCTAGGGCCTAGCATGTAGTAGGAGCTCAAGAAATAAATAAATAATTAACTCCCTGTCTTCAAAGGAAAGAAATGTTAGGACAAGAGACTGAACAGTGTGAGGAAGGCATTTGAGTCAATAAAAAACCAAAAACATTGCTAATAAAAAGTTGAGAAGAATGAAACTGTGTTGGTGATGGTCTGGGGAAACATGCACTTTCATACACTGATATGGCAATATCTACTAATACTGCTAGCAAAGTCAGGGGCATCAGTCATGCTATTACAGCAGAGGTCCCCAACCTTCAGGCTGTGGACCAGTACTGGTCTGGGCCTGTTAGGAACTGGTCTGTACCAGCAGGAGGTGTATAGTACTTGAGTGTACTGTACATGAATCATCCTGAAACCAGCACCCTCTGCTCCCTGGTCCGTGGAAAAGTTTTCTTCCACAAAACCAGTGCCTGGTGCCAAAATGGTTGGGGACTGCTCTATTAGAGGACCAAGGCAGCGAGGCACTCTGAGAAAAATCTCTGACCTGAGAGAGAAGATTCAGGTTTCTATAAAGCCACACACCAGCTACTGGGTTGACAGCAAGCTTCTTCATGTCTGTGAACTTCACCTTCCTTGAGCACATAGTGATAGAGTCAAATAGGTAATCTCTTGGACCTTGTTCAGCTAACATGAACATGGAGTCAGAGCTCTTCAGAATCTCATATGTCAGCTTAGGGCTGACTCCAGTGAGTATGAAGGTCCCCAAGTTTCTACCAATTTTATGAGTCTTCATTCTGGAAGATGTACTCCTCAAATATTCTTTGGAAGGGAGAATAATTGAGGCCTCTTTCCCTTAGGTCACCACCTCACTTCCTGGTTCAGAAGATAAAGTAATCTTGTCTCACCCATCAAAGGAGCATCAAAGACAAGCTGGCTCTACTCCATAACCAGAGGCAAGGACCAGCCTCTCCAGAGGCCCCAAAACAGTGTCTTTCATATTCTTCTGCCTGTCAGGTTGCTGGAAAGAGTGTGAGACCCTGCTAATGCCATATTGGAAAACCCCTCCAAAAATTACCCAAATAATGGAAAATCATATCTAATCTAACTAAAACCAACCAAGTCCTTGAAGTCTTTCCTAAATAAAATCAATAAATGTGTAGTAACTAAAGATGTCTCCAGCACATTCATGAGGACCTTCATGGTGGCTGCATTTTATAGTATCGTTATTGGCCAGGTGTTACGACATTGCACCCAAGGTGATGTAAAAGCCACAATGTGTGATCTTCCATTCTGCCTCTTCTGCCTATACCAGGATGTCACAAAAATTCATCCTCAGGCAGCCTCAGCTGGTAGCAAGATCAGGCTTGGCCATGTCCTTGACTCTAGTCCTCTAAGCTTACCAGGTGTACAAGCATTCCTCTGAAGAAGCACTCAACCAGGAGATTTACCCTAGACTCCAAGGGGCAGCAGGCCCCTTTCCAGGGTCCTCCTTAATCTGCATCCCCATGACCATATTCAGTAGAATATAGTTCCATAGACAAATTGGTTCCCTGCTCAGAAAGACTGGTAAATGTGTTTTCAATGCAGCACTTGAGAACCTTAATTTTGTCAACACAACTGTGAATCTTCCAGAGGGGTATTAAATTCCTTAAACTTACTTATTTTTTGCAAAGCATCACATTCCAGGCCTACTGTTTGACAGCCTATCCTTTGAGAATCGTCACTGAGCTCCTGACCTATGACCGCTGTTTTAGAGACCTCACTGAACAATATGACTGCCTGCTCTCACTCAGCTTCCATCACAATAAGAGCAGACCTAAAGATTCTAAAATTCCTTGCTAAGTGATGTTAAGCACCCAGTGCTTTAAAACTCATTCAGATGTTTGTTGAAAATGTTCCAAAGAAGTACCTACAACATACTGCTCAATACATAGATAATTTCATGACACCAGGACTCACAGAACTCCTACATGGAAGTGACAGGACTGAAAGCTTTCAATTTTAGATAGTAACTCCCTCCCTCTTCCAGCCCAGCCCCAGACTAGGACTACCCAGAGTAAGTCAGAGGTCATAAGATAACTATGCATGATTTTGAAGCTCTTAGAAAATGAAGCAGGTGCCAGCTTTTTTGTCCCTCATTCTTTATCCTTCCAGCCTTTATTAGGGCTCCTCACCAGGATGGGGAGCAGCTCATGGCAGGTGCTCAGCCTTGCATTCAATCTTACTCTAAACCAGTAACAACCCTGACTTACCACTGGCTGGGTGAGACCATGGCTTCTGGAAGTGATTTTGAAATTAAAGACAGAAGTCTGCCTATATGCACAAGACAGAGGCTAAACCAAGGTGTGAAACATCTGATCCATGCCTGGTGAGTCTCCTCTATTTGAATAACTTAATGTGAGCATGTCAGGTCAAAAACTTCTGGTGCCTAAGTTTTCCCCCACTGTTATATCAGAGAAGTTATTGTTTTAATTTTTATAAGAATGTATTGATAAGTTACTTATGAAGTTAAAGATGAATACAATAAGAGGGGCAATATTAAATTGTACTATGGTATAAAATAGTGGTCTAACCCTTAATAAATATGAAATCACTGGAAAGTATTTTATCAAGTTGAGGTATAAAAGCACCAGAAGACTACAAGAGGATGTCAAATAACAGCCATCCCCATGAAGAAAAGGTAGAGTTTCTCTTTCTTTTTTTTGAAGGCATAATTTGTCCTTATAGACTGAGCTATAGAAGAAATAAAAGAAATATGTAGTATATTACTGATGGAACACAGTTTGTCCAAAGCTCTGAGGGTTTTACGTAAACAGTGGTCTCTCTGCTGGGTTACAGTCCCACCAGTTTTACTTTCCAGCCCTTTGTTTCCTGGTGTGTAAAACAAGGAGGTTGGACAGATAAGGACAGGAGCTTTTTATTTCTAATACTTGAAGGTCTTATATTTAGAGAGGAATTACACTGTGAATAGACTAAAGGGCCATGTTCATAAATGACAACATGCTCCACTAAATGCAATATGATGTTGGGAGGCAGGTTTGGAGGGTGAGGGCAGGAAGGACATCTACATCATTTATTAAAATAAAGGAAACCTCAAGCCTCATGTTATGATTTAAGAGGGAATCAATCATGACCAGTTTATGTTTAACTTACCATCGTGGCCATAGCTTAGCTATGTTTTAAATATAAAATGTCATTCATAGATGAAAAAATGGAGTAGCTATCTTCAAAAATATTGTTATATGCCAAAAATGATGTGCTATTATTGTTGCTGTGATTTTCAATAAAATCTTCCTGCAACACAAATTATAGCACCTTAAAAAGCCATGAGCTAAAACACCAGAACAGATCTGGAGAAATGAACTGAGCTTTACTTACCACCTATGGCTCTCTGGTGCTATTAACATCTAATAGAATCACTTATCATTCCATGTCTTCAATTGTTTTACACTAACTGCAATCTGGCAGCTCTAATGGCTAAGAAAAACAGATAAATTTAAAATAAAAATATATTATCTATTCTTGCATAATATGAATTTAAATGAAAACAGCGTGAACTAGGATTATTTCTTTCAGAACAAGTCACTGCATTCTCTCTACCACCACCCTAAAATAGAAAAACGCAATACAACCATACCTCCATTGTTTTGTAAAAAAAGCTACCCTGGTCTCTGTCAAGGCTAGGGGACAAACAGATTTGCTCCTGGCCAACAGCTGAAGCCATCCATTTCAGTAATAGTAAAGATGTTTTTGAAATTAGTGTACAGGCAGATACACCCTGTTTTCTCAAAAATCAAAAACAGAACAGCTTTTACACTGATAGTCTCTGTACCAGAAAAGCCTTGGAAAATCTCCAGTGACAATTTATCTCCCATTGTTTTTTATTCCCAAATGTAAATGGTATATAACTGAGCTTAAACAAAAAACAAAAAAATCAGGAAATAAGCAGCCTGGATTCTTTTGTATGCTAAAACTGGAGATAATTAAAAAAATATTTTATTTATATATTTTTAGAGAGGGGGAAGGGAGGGAGAAAGAAAGAGAGAAAAACATCAATGTGAAAGAGATACATCAATCCATTGCCTCTCACATGGCCCCAACTGGGGACCAGGCCCGCAACCCAGGTATGTGTCCTGACTGGGAATTGAACCAGCAACATTTCAGTTTGCAGGCTGGTACTCAATCCACTGAGCCACACCAGCCAGGGCTAAAACTGGAAATAATTTTGAAAGAAATGAAACGGATTTAAAATGTCCTTAAAATCCAGAAGGAAGTAAATGCAGCATCAGCTTATTCTTTGGTAAACAGCCAAGAAAGCCAAGCTAGCAATGCAGTAGGAATATAGTCAGAAAAACCATATACCCTTCTACCTTTCCACAGACAGGGCATGGACATAAGTCTGGCCTAAGCCAAAACTAATACAGCTAGCAACTGCAGGGGCACACCGGCATCAGAGAGAACACAGTTGCTTTCACTACCATCCTAGGCACTCCGTAGCACATGGCTCTCTTACCTCTAACATTGGCCTGGCACTGTCGTGGACAGAGAGAATATGGGTCACCTTGTTCTTGCTCAACTGCTCTGCATCTCTGGCATCTGACAAAGAAGACAGACAGTTCAATATTCTCTGCAAGTGAATGATTCCTAAAGTTTAGCCAGAAAAAAATATAAAATGATTTCCATATTTCTTTCTTGAAAGTTCATAATTGACCATACTCAGAATAATTTAGATGTAGAAAATTTAGTACTATCTCTTTTTATATACTTTGCATATAACTAAATTTATTTTTGATTGGCACATCTAAAATCACTACTTTGATTTTAGAGACAGAGCAGCAGTTAGCTTCCAAAGTCAGTTCCGGAGACTGTAGGACAGGATCTTCCAGATTCTGAATCTGCCCAGGATTTGAATTTTAAAGGTCAACAGTTGCTTAAATATATTTTTCCTTTTTTAAAAAACAGCTTTATTGGGACAATTCATATGCCATAAAACTCACCCTTTTAATGTGTATAATTTAAGGGTTTTAGCATATTCGGAGTTGTTTAATCATCACCACAAGCTAACTTTAGAACATTTTCATCACCCCATAAATAAATTATTGTAACACAGATTAAGATATCAAAAAAAGTGGTTTGGGAATAAGATTATACACTTTGAATACAGAAGGCCTCTCTATACCACCAGTAAAACAACTGACTTTTGGACTCTAAAGGAAGTGGCTGTTCCTGGTAGACGATGCTCCTTTCTGTTTCATTATGGTGCCATCTGCACTGACACACCACTTTGGAGTTGCCCTTTCCCATAAGCACCTGCCCTGTCTACCTATTTGAAAGTGCATACAATGCTTCATCAAAGCTTCTGGATGACACTGGATATTTGATTTTTCAGGACTATACATTATTGATGTCTCTGGATGGCTGCCTACAACCACGGGCACTAAGGTAATGAGCTACAGACACAGCTGTAAGACTCTGGCCATGGGGCTGTCAGCTGGCTCCTGTGCGTATGCATAAGCCTGAAAGTGTCACATCAGCTTTCTCTGAGCACAGAATCACAGGGGCAGAGATCTGTCCTGTGCTGCTCAAATCCAGGTCTGTCAAACAGAAGTAGGGCATCACTTGGAAGCATGCTAAAAATGAGACTCCCAGGCCCACTACATACTTACACATCATAACCTGCACTTTTAATAAGAACCCTAGAAGATCATGTGCACTGTATATGGGAACCCTGGACAGCCTCCAGAGAATGACCTTTGATAGTGTCCCTTCCTGACTACAGATGTTAATGCATTTCTAAGCTAGAAAACAATTCACAACCACTTGCCATCACAGTTGCAACAAGTCAGTATTAATAAAATCAATGGGGAGATTGCAGTTTAGAATTCAAATGAAAAAAAATCTAGAGGAAAATTTGCTGAACACTGTTACGTTATCTCTTGGGACATGAGGTTTTTGGGGAATTTTTCACTCTACATATTACTGTCATGCTTGGATTTTTATTTTTATTTTATTGATATGGGGGGGCATAAATTTGTTGTTCCATTTATTTATGCATTAATTGGTTGATTCTTATATGTGACCTGACCGGAGATCAAACCTGCAGCCTTGGTGTATTGGGATGATGCTGTAACCAACTGAGCTACCCAGCCAGGGCTCATATTTGGATTTATAAACTTAAACAGCTTAATGTTTTCTTTTCCTTTCTCTCTCAGCATGTCCCTTGGCCCCTGGACTCTTGTTGCCTGTCTCCCTTTACCCTCCCCATCTCCAACGCCCCTTGATTTAGCTGGCCTTCTAAAGAAGCAAACATCATCTTTACACAGTGGGAGTGCTGATATAAAAATACACAACAGATCTTTCTCCTTTGCTATTAAATGTTCCCTGCCTAGCTGGAAGGAAGACCCCACCCATCGCTGGGTAGACCTCACTGAGCAGCAGATGGGTTCCTATAAGATGCTGTCCTAAAGGGCAAAGTGACAGCCACATGCTTCCTTAAGAAAGAAAATTAGCACTCAATACTGACACAGAAGATAGACAAAGGTCACCAGTCCCAAGATGTGGGAAATGCTAGAATGACTATGGGAAATAAGCCAGTCAAGCAAAGTAAAGCAGAATTTCCTCTCAATAAAATTCTAAAAATATAGTCAAAGAAGCATGAAAAATTAACATTAACAACACAAGTGCTCAAGAAAGAGCATTTGGCTGGAAAGAACTTCTTTGGTAATGCTTTTCCCTAACTCAAAGCACCTGCTGCACTGAACTGTGGGCTCAAAAGAATGGACATACAGATGAGAAGAGGCAGGGAAAAAGAGAAAGAAGGTCTCTGTTTTAAAGAGATCCAATTCCCTCTGCTTTGACATTGAACCCCAAGTCATGTCTGAGCCATTCACAAAACAACTTTTGCCTCCCCATTTGAGAATCTGCTGAGTGATGGGCAAGAGACTGCAATCTGTTTTGCAGTTATACTCCCCACTGCAAAATTTAATGACTTTTAGAGTTATAAATTAGTATGCATTAAAATAACTTCTAGTTACAAATTAGCCGTTAGTAGCTTCAACCTTTAACTGGATACACTTCCAACCAGGGCTGAGGGCCAAAATAGGGCTGTTGCTACCTGTTTCCTTCTCTATCAAATCTTGGCTCAGACATTTATTGGCCCTGACCTTGAACAAATTTTTCTGTACTTCCCTCTTCTCACCTGTAAATTGGAAAAATGGTAAGAGTACCACCTCAAAGGTCTGCTAGAAGTACTAAATGATACAAAATGCTTAGAACAGTGTTTGGCTGGCATTCATGCAGTTAAATGTTATTATTGTCATCATTATTATTACCACGGCAATCAGATTAAGTCCCAAGGCTGTGGTATGGGTCTCAATCTCCATGACATCTGAATATTTCCAACTGTATGCTTACTTCAAAGACATCTGATTCCCAGTTCTCACTGCACCATCCAAAGCTCAAACACTCAACTCCCAGCTTTCCTAGGCTAAGCTAACAGCAGACCACCACAGATCAATATTTAGTACCTCACCATCTCAGCCTCATCTGAGCAACCAGGGAACCACAACCATTCTCACTGAACAAAAGCTCTGAGACCTCAGACATGTACATCACCTGCACACAGTGCCTGAACTTGCTTCCCACTTTTCTAGATTTTTGAGGACATCTTCAAAGTATGAGGGCTTTCTGTGTCTACTGACATCTAATTCTGCACTTGCTAAGTGGTGAGGAAGCAGCTAACCCTACCCTCTTGGCCTAGGGAGGAGCTGAGCTTTGACTTCCCACTCCCTCCCTTCTTTCTTTGTATCTGGACAAGAACCAGCTACCAGTCATAAGCATCTCAAAAGAAAGGCTCTCATCAAAGATAGGGATCCAGAAGCTGGGTTTGTCTGTGGGTTTTTTTCTAGGTGGAAAATATCACCAGGTGTTGGGAAACTGTGATTCATTGCAAAGTTAAAAAGAAGAAACAGGAAATTGTACAGTGGCATGTAAAGGATTCCACTGGAAGGAAGGAAGGGAGGGAGGGAGGTAGGGAGGGAGGATGGAAAGGGGAATGGAGGGGAGGGAGGAAGGAGATGGAACAGAAGGCCACTCAATGGCTGGATGGAGACCATGGTCACTAGAACCAAGGTTTGAGGAGCACTGCCAATCCGCACTCTGAAAAATAAAGATCTCTAGAAGAGTAAAAAGAATAAAAACTCCACTAATTTTTTTTACATATTTCAACATTGGTGGTTGTATTACAATAGGCATGTATTATTTGTAATTTAAAAAGAGAAGAATGACTAAATGAGACATCATGCTAAAGTACAGATGACAGCTGAATTCACTCTCCAGGAGAAGTCATGATCCTTTTACCTTGGGTTTTCACACTTGCTATCTGACTAATGCTGCTCAGTGCCTACTGCACACCTGAAATGGAGTGGGTGTTTTATGAACATCTATCTCCTTCCACAACAGCCCAAAGCAGGTTTATGGTTCCCATTTCACAGACAGGGAAGGTAAGGAGGGCCTGAGCCTGCCTTAACTATAGTGTACCAGGCATGAAGTGGGTGCTTCAGCTGCCTTTTCTGGCTCAGCCCTCCGGTGCTGATGTTCTCATCCCTTCATGTACAGGTTGCTTAAAGTATCGAGGGCAAACATTTGGCTTGTGGGCTATGGGGTAACTGAATTCCAAGACCAGCATCCCCACAGCTTCTTTCCAGTCCTGTTCTGTGCCTGACCATCCCCCACACCACCCCACTTACTCTGAACCACTGAGGGTCAGGACACTATCCACACCAGACTCCTAGCACAGTGCCCTACACATTGGGAGCTTGCAACAAGTTTGTGAAACAATTGAGTTAATTCACAGGCAACCATATAAGACACACTTCCTTGCAGCTTCTTGTGTAGTAAATGCACTCTCATGCCTTTGTTTGAGATAAGCCTCACACTTGGAAAGTGTTTAAGAAATGCTTGGTGAATTAATATGTGAATAAAATACAACCACATACTAATGTCAGGATAACGGAAGATGATGACAAAACACCAACTGTCTGAACAAAGACAGGTGTGGGTGGGTTGCTGAAGAACCCTCTAATGGGTGAAATCCACAAAGCAAGAATCCTAGAACTGAAGGATTCCCATGTCACTTGATATTTAGAAAATAGGTACAGATTTTAGTACAAAAAAAGTTTAAATATTTCCTTAAAGCTGTACACAATGCCCTTCTGTAAGAAAGTATACTTTTATGTGTAAGGATAAAACTTTCACAAACTATTGGCAGAAGTACTGTATTTTTTGGACCATAAGACTCACCTAGGTTTTAGAGGAGGAAAACAGGGAAAAAATTTGAAGCAAAAATGTGGTAAAATATTTAATAACATAAATAACATAATACTTCACCAATGTAAATGTAAACAGAACTCAACAGCAGCATTAACAAACAAATTTGAGGGGAGGGGGAAAGTGTGTCTTATAGTCTGAAAATATGGTATTTAATTTGGTTGATATTTATTACAATTTTAATTTAATTTAATTTTAATTTAATTTAATTTTAGTGTAGCTCAATTATAGCTGTCCCAGTCCCTGCCCCCATGTTCTCTCCTGGCCCA